ATTTGCACTCATCTCCCAACATGAAGTATCCCCGCATTGTTACTGTCCTCGGTTTCATTGCTGTCATCGCTTCTGGTTCTACCCAGGCAGCAACTATAACCTCGACATCTCCAGCAGCATCTTCCAGTACCCCCTCTTCAACAAGCTCTATCGCTCGCCTGTTTGTAGCCAAAGGTAAAAAATACTGGGGCGCATTCCTGGACTCGCCGGCTGCGTCCAGTCCACAAGCTTCGGCTATTTTGAAAACTCATTGTAAGAAATTAGTAATAATATACTGAAGGATATATACTGACTGGTTGTTTTAGTGTGGGTATTTCGCACATAGCTCCTCACGTTCTGACATTAGAGTGGTGCAAATCTATGCAAACAGTGTACGCTGCAACTACGGCACTTGAGAGAGGTTTGATGACACTTTATAGAATCAAGTAAGCACTCGGGAAATCAACAATGTCAAATACTGATTTTGGTCAAAGTTGACCCCTAGGAATAGCATGGTAGGCCACTCAGTCCGGATAGTCGTGCTATAACGATGTTAACCACAGTTTTGGTAGAAATGGGATGCTATAGAACCGGTAATAAGATCATTTGTGGAGCGAAGTTCGACTCATTCATGGACTTCAGAGCCAAGGTTCCTTCAACTTCAATGCGGCAGATATATTTGTGAACTTTGCTATGCAAAATGGTGAGTACCGGTTTGGGAACGTGTCTCATTGGCTCACGTGATGGGATCGATAGGCTTCTATGTTCGGTTTGTTCTGGTTTCTTACCACAGCAGATCCTTTCTTATTCTGTATATTGTCCGCATTATGTGCCTCCAGCGGATACACTTTTATTTGGCACTCACAGGTACGTCATTTACCGGAGTAAGCTCCATCTCTTTCTCATAGAGACCAGCTCCCTAGCTGGGTCAGTTCAATTACAGATGCGTCTACCCTGACTAGCGTGATCACACGTCACATCACCGTCCTCGGTGGACGCTACAAAGGTCGTTTCTACGCCTGGGATGTTTGTAATGAGGTATGTGGAATTTGCCATACCGTTTTCCCACTCACCTTCCCTCAGATTCTCAATGAAGGTACTACCACTCGGATTGGCACAATTGAACCACAGATTGATTCTTTCGGACCTAGATGGAACATTGCGAAGCACAGTTTTCTCCAAAGTCCTAGGAGAATGTAGGTTTTATCGAGTGGTATGATCACACCTATTTATTCACTTACTCCAGCATTTGTGTCTATCGCGTTCAAGGCCGCCCGTAGTGCGGACAGTACTGCCAAGCTTTATATCAACGTGAGTGTTTTTGGATTTCATTTATCCATTTTCTCAATATGGTCTTTTTATAGGATTATAATATGGTAAAAGATCCTTTTTAATCCTCTGAGCCCCACTTACCTGGATAAAGGATTCCGTTTCGTCCAAAACACAAGGGTACCCATCTATATAGCGCAGATGAATGGTGTATAGGCTGATTAGTACCTGAATAGGATGGCGAGCTGGGTGAAGAAATGGCTTAGCCAGGGTATACCGATTGATGGTATTGGGTAGGTCCCTTGAACCCTGATTTCCTCGGCCCCAACGATGAGATATACTTGTTTCTGATGGTATTCTCTCAGCACACAGGGGCAGATTCAAATTGGTGGTTCTACCGGTATGGTCAATGCGCTCACGGTACTCGCTGCGTCCGGTGTATCGGAGGTCGCCATTACCGAATTGAATATCCCATCTGCCAATCCTACGGACTATGTGAATATCGTCAAAGCATGCTTGGCTGTCTCTGCCTGCGTCGGCATTACGGTACGTTGTCCTCTTTCCCTTCATCCTTCACTGTGGAACGAAATCCTCTCTTTCCTTTATGATCTGATTGGAAACAAATACACTATCTCATTCTTCATCGTGTTCTATCTTTCTGCAGAATGAATGTGTCATCGACAGTGACTTTGGTTGGCGGACTTCCAATCCTGCATGTCTCTGGACTAGTGCCTACCAACCCAAGCCCGCTGTTAATGCCATAATCAACGCCTTGAAGTAGGGAAATATAGCCTTTGGATAAAGCATGATAGGATAGCCGATGACCGATCCACATCTGGATTTCATTTCGACCTTCCAACACCGCTTTATGCCCAATCGAATACGGAACCGTACTTTCTTCTGTTGTGATGTAGTGACAAAGATGAATTTAAGGATTTCTTTTGGTCCCACATCCTACTTTGAATATAATATATTCGTTCATAAGCAATTTATAGAGAAGCTGGTACGAGTACACATTAGTCACACGGGCGCTACCCCAATGATAAGGTCATTGCTCGTGAACGATAGAGTGAGTAATCTATGCTAATGTACTAATTTGAATCTGTAAGGGTACACGAGTACAAGTATACACTTATGCTGGGCGCTTGCAAAATGGGGATCTTCACTCATAGTATCGCTCTATTGCCTTTCCTTTTGCCATCTTTTTCGCCTCTAAAATTTCGGCAACCTCTGCTGGACCAGCAGCGTAGGATGTATCTGACTGTGCAAAGGAAGGTTCATATGGATGAGCAGGTCCAGCAAAAGGGCCATTCATTTGGATGAAGGGTGGAGGGGGAGGTGCCTGCAATATGCTTTCGGCCATACGGCGTG